TTTTAATAACTTTTATGTGGATAGGTCCATAATTGGCCCTACTCCCCCTATTGGGTCCACTTCAGGAAATAGCTTCAACGCTCATTACTGTCTTAAAAATATGAGTAAAGCGATGAAGTGCTACACACTTAAGTTTCTTACGAGCCAAAACCTCTGTACCAATTTTTATTTTGGATCGGCCAAAAAATGACCCTTCCCGCATATAAGGACCCCTCTCTCTGCAAATAACTATAATGCTCATTACTGGCTTAAAAATATGACTGTAGTGACTAAAATTGATGCACATAAGTTTAATGCGTGCCAAAATTTCTCCACAACATTTAGGGAGGATCGGCTCTACGTTGGCCATGAAGCAGTAACTTTAGCTTTTATTACATTTGAAAAAAGGCACATTAAGTTGGGTTTCCAATGATGGTCAATTTATGATAATCGATGAAAAAGGTTATGAGTTGTGCTAAGTTTTATAAAAATATAGCATATTTCTTCCATACAAAAACGTTCATGTTTCTGGTTTTCTTTGTAACAAGTTTAAAAAATGTTTATAAACATTTTTATACAAAAATTAATTTGTATGGAAAAAAACAAAAATTCGAGAAACATGCTATTAGAAAAATTGGCATAAATCATCCAGTTTTCGTAGATTTTTATGAAATAACAAGTTTTAGAAACCTTCCTTTATGTGATTCTTCAGGAAAGTAAAAAAGATTAACTCACTGCCTCATGGTCAAAGTAGAGCATGATGAAAATGAAATTTTTTTTAAAAAAGTGTGAGTTTTTTTACTTAAACGACCGTAACTCAGACATTTGACCATCAATTTTGGATTTCTTTTTTTGGATTAAAAGACACTTGTATCATTAAAAAAAATATTGGATTTGAAAATCGGATGAAAACTACTAAACTTATGATTTTTCAGATTTAAAACTTCAAAAATGGCTCTTTTTCGCATCTTTTGCTCTTAAAAAGTAAGTTAATGAAGTGATAGGGGAAAACTAAAAATATATTCGTACTCTATGGACTATAACGAAATAGAATTGGTATATGAGAACGCCTGCATTTTATTTTTCTTCACTTTTGTATCACAGTGTTATTTATAACAATAAGATATCAAAATATGTATGGGGGTCCGTGAAATTAAATAAATTCCTCAAGGGGTCCGCGAAGTAAAAAATGGTGGGAACCGCTGGTCTAGTCTATAGTCTAGTCTATCGTCTAGTCTATAGTCTAGTCTATAGTCTAGTCTATAGTCTAGTCTATCGTCTAGTCTATAGTCTAGTCTATCGTCTAGTCTATAGTCTAGTCTATCGTCTAGTCCAGGGGTCGGCAGACTTCTGAGTCGGAAGAGCCAAAATTTACAGTTTACAAAACATGGGTTTTAAAAGAGCCACAAAATGTTTGTTTATTAAAGCATTACAAATACGTTATGAATTCACTTCAAAACCATATTTTTTGTTTAATTATCTGCAAGACAATTCTGCAAGGAATCTTTCTTATAGATTTTTGACTAAAAATACTTTTTTAATTTTTGTGGGTCATTCGAATGCGTTTTTTAACACTTGTTATATAAAGAGATATAAAAGTTTATTAGAGTGGGGCGACAGTGATATAATTTAAAGGCATCTGCCATAATACAGTATAAAGTGTCATAGTTATGTATATTAATTAGGCAGCAATCGAGATAAAATTTTGCATAAGTTTTTTTATATGATGTATTGCGGACATCAAGCCATAATTGACCAGCACCAATATAAGGCCCCTTTAAGAAAATTACTCTAACGATCATAATTGACTTAACAGTAGCAGTATAGAGACGAAATTCGACATAAACAAGTTGTATAAGAACAAAAAATCTATCTTCTTAATTTTATTTTAACACTCATAACTGGCTTAATAATAGCAGTATTATGACGAAATTTAACACAAACAGGAATAAAAATCACTTTACCAAATTTGATGATCTGCTCATAATTGATCCTATCCCCCATACTAGATCCCCATTAGAAAATGACCCTATCGCTCTTAGAGTCCACTTTCGAAAACGAAGTTATGACATACAGCAGCCTAAAATACAAGTATAGTGATGAAAATCAACACAAACAAGTTTTATAGGATCTAAAATCTCATTACCAAATTTTGTAAGGATGGGTCCATAATACGCTTTCTGGTCCCTTATTTATTTATTTATAGCCAAACATTTTATGTCAAAAATATGTCAATCTTTCATAGATCACTGTCATTAAAATATGGAATATTTAAAAAATTTTAATTTTTTGGCACCTTTTTATAGAAAGCGTGCAAAAAATATAAAATTCTTTAAAAAAGATTAAAGTCTTCAAATAGACCAAGTTTTTAGTATTTAACTGTATCCAAACTCTCCACATTATTAATTAATTACTATATCTTAAATTTCCAAAAAAATATGTTTTAATTCGAAAAAACACGAAAATTTCGGAATGTATGATCATGTTTTACATCTTATTTAATGGTACTTCGTAGGAGCGCTGATATGATACTCCATTTTCAATGAACACTTTAAAGAATCCAACATTTTCTTACAATATTAACTTGTACATGGAACAAATTCAATGGGAGTGATAGGTTTGTATGGCTTTAGAAAGTTTGGATCATAACTTGTTGTTTAAAGTTTCAAAAATGACTCTAAATTTTAATTTGTTAGTTGACTTTTTACCTAACTCTTCCAACTTGCTTTTAAACTTTGAGTTTCTAGAGATCCAATACAAATTCCAAATGGCTCAATGAGGATTTACTCTCAAATGTGTGATTGTAACGCCAAATAAAAGGAAATGAGCGCATATATAATTGTGTTGTTTTCTTTCTTTTTCACTCAAAAAGTATATGTTTTTGTTTCGCTTATGTACAGAACGATTGAGCAAAGTTAAAAAGTTGTGTATATTGTAGAAACGTTTGCGAATTGTTTTGTTAGTTTTAATACACTGCTCTTTAATAGATTCGGAAAGATTTTAAAATATATAAATATTTTTTTTTAAAATAAATAAAATATGTGTATGAAACTAAAGAGCCATAGCTAGACATCTAAAGAGCCGCATTTGGCTCGCGAGCCGTAGTTTGCCGACCCCTGGTCTAGTCTATAGTCTAGTCTATAGTCTAGTCTATGATCTAGTCTATAGTCTAGTCTATGATCTAGTCAATAGTCTAGTCTATGATCTAGTCTATAGTCTAGTGTATGATCTAGTCTATAATCTAGTCTATAGTCTAGTCTATAGTCTACTGTGTGGTATATAGATAGTTGTCTGTCTACTTGACAGCATTATGACAATGTTATATCATATCATGATCTTTTCAATTTTCTAAAAGTTATTTTTTACTGTTAACCCAAAATTTCATATCTCTTATTTATTTATCTAGTAATAAAACTGCATGGTCGTTTCAAAAGGTCAAACTTCATGAATTAATATTTTTGCATTTGCAAAATCTCATATTTCTAACTATAATTAATTAAGTGGTATTTTATTATTCAATGAAATATTTCAAGAAACTTTAAAAACTTTGTTCTTTACCTAAAGTCGGAGGAGTTTTTAAACAATAACGTTTAGATCTGTTGAAATCTATTTTGAAATTTTATAATTGAAATGAAATAACTACTTAGCTCAAGTAAATTGAAGTTAAATAATTTGAATTAACAACTTGAAAATCATGATTCAATAAAATAAATAAACAATCCAGAAAATTATTATTTGCAAACAAATCAAAACACAACAAGTAAGAGTGTTATATTCGGCTATGCCGAATCTTATATACCCACCATCAAACCACGTTTGACTCGAATGAAGCTTACTTATGTCGAATTTCATCTATATACTCGTATATTTAGGCCAGTTATAAGCGTTAAAGTAATTTTCTCAAGGGGACCTTATATAGGGGGGTAGGGTCAATTATGGGTCGATCCTCATAAAATTTGGTAGACAGAATTTGGTTCGTATTAAATTGATTTGTGTCGAATTTCATCGCTACACTCGTATTTTTAAACCATTAATGAGCGTTGCAGTTATTTTCTGAAGGGGACCTAATATGGGAGGTAGGGTCAATCATGGACCGATCCTCATAAAATTTTTTAGATAGATTTTGACTCGTATGAAACTTACTTATGTCGAATGTCATCTATATACTAGTATTTTTAAGCCAGTAATGAGCGTTAAAGTCATTTCTGAAGGGGACTTTATATGGGGGGTAGGGTCAGTTATGAACCGATCCGCATAAAATTTTGCATAGTGATTTTGAATCATAAGAAACTTACTTATGTCGAATTTCATCGCTATATTCGTATTTTTAAACAAGTTATGGCTGTTAAAGCTGCTTTTCGAGGGGACACTTGTATGGGGGCTATCCGAAGACGTAGACCGATATTGCCCTCCTTCAATTCCAAACAAACCTTACCTATAAGAAATATTTATGTGAAATTTCAATCCTCTAGCTCTTTCCAGTCGGACTCTATCGTGCTTTCAACAGACAGACGGACAGACGGACAGACAGACAGACAGACAGACAGACAGACAGACAGACAGACAGACGGACAGACGGACAGACGGACAGACAGACAGACGGACGGACAGACATGGCTAGATCATCTTAGAATTTAATGAGGACCCAGAATATATATACTTTTGTGGGTCTATGACTAATATTTCGATGTGTTACAAACGGATTGACAAAATCAATATACCCCCCATCATTTTTGATGGTGGGTATAAAAATAAATGTAGAAGCCGGAGATTTGGACTTTGTCTAAACCAACAATTAATATTTTCTAGAGAAAATTATATTAATAAAGTTTTTAAACAAATCTATAAAAAAAAAATCTGTAAAATTTAAGTTGCGAAGTTGACAATCATTTATCATAATTTTAAACATATTTAACGACGTTCCTTCTAATGAATAATTAAAATAATAAATCAATTGGTTTTTTCTATCCCTCTAGTAGAAAAAGTGCTAATTAATAATATAAATATTATTACTTACTTACAAAAACAAGTTTGTTTATTAAATGATTTTTATTTAGCATCCAATTTTTTTTTTCTGCGCTATTTCAAGGTCAAGGTTGTTATTTGGGAGAAGATGTTATAAAAATTACCTTCTTTTTTATTGATCTGTAAAGAAAAGAAAATCATTGGACATTAATCATAAAGAGTTGTTTTTATGAAGATTAAGTAGATAAAAGTGTTAACAATGTTTTAATATAAAACATGTTAATTTATTAATAGTTTTTCTAAGAAGATTTGTTTTTGTTATGATTTACGAAAAACACTATCATAAGAAAACGAAATCGATAGTTAAATTTTTAAACTGCAGAAAAATCAACCTCAAAATCTACGCTTTCATTTTATTATTAACATTTTAGATACAAATTAAACACGTTTTGCACGATTTTAAAATTACTATTCTTTTACAAGTATTTTTTTTATCTGTAATTTAATACTTATATTCTTAAAAAATTAATTAAAGTCTCAATATTTTTTGCTTCCCCCAAAGAAAATCTAGAGCACCGTGTCAATGTCAATATACAAATTTTGTTGGTTTTTACAATTCATTCTAAAACATTATAAAAACAATTAACAAATTAGTGTCATTAAAATTAATAAATAGCGCAGTCATTAATATTTATATTTTTTGAATTATATTTTTAGTGAAAAACTAATTTAATAACTTTTAAACTTGAATATCTAGCCAATAGTCTAGTCTGCCGTTTAGTGTAAAGTCTATTCTATTAACTAGAGGCTGATCTACAGTCTGATCTAATCCATAGTCTTGTATATAGTCTTATTTTCTAGTCCATAGTCTAGTCCATAGTCTAGTCCATAGTCTAGTCCATAGTCTAGTCCATAGTCTAGTCCATAGTCTAGTCCATAGTCTAGTCCATAGTCTAGTCCATAGTCTAGTCTATAGTCTAGTCTAATCTAGTCATCGTCTATAGTCTAGTCTATAGGTCTAGTCTATAGTCTAGTCTATAGTCTAGTCTATAGTCTAGTCTATAGTCTAGTCTATAGTCTAGTCTATAGTCTAGTCTATAGTCTAGTCTATCGTCTAGTCTATAGTCTAGTCTATAGTCTAGTCTATAGTCTAGTCTATAGTCTAGTCTATAGTCTAGTCTATAATCTAGTCTATAGTCTAGTCTATAGTCTAGTCTATAGTCTAGTCTATAGTCTAGTCTATAGTCTAGTCTATAGTCTAGTCTATAGTCTAGTCTATAGTCTAGTCTATAGTCTAAGTCTATAGTTCTAGTCTATAGTCTAGTCTATAGTCTAGTCTATAGTTAGTCTATAGTCTAGTCTATAGTCTAGTCTATAGGTCTAGTCTATAGTCTAGTCTATCGTCTAGTCTATAGTATAGTCTCTAGTCTAGTCTATAGTCTAGTCTATAGTCTAGTCTATAGTCTAGTCTATAGTCTAGTCTATAGTCTAGTCTATAGTCTAGTCTATAGTCTAGTCTATAGTCTAGTCTATAGTCTAGTCTATAGTCTAGTCTATAGTCTAGTCTATAGTCTAGTCTATAGTCTAGTCTATAGTCTAGTCTATAGTCTAGTCTATAGGTCTAGTCTATAGTCTAGTCTATAGTCTAGTCTATAGTCTAGTCTATAGTCTAGTCTATAGTCTAGTCTATAGTCTAGTCTATAGTCTAGTCTATAGTCTAGTCTATAGTCTAGTCTATAGTCTAGTCTATAGTCTAGTCTATAGTCTAGTCTATAGTCTAGTCTATAGTCTAGTCTATAGTCTAGTCTATAGTCTAGTCTATAGTCTAGTCTATAGTCTAGTCTATAGTCTAGTCTATAGTCTAGTCTATAGTCTAGTCTATAGTCTAGTCTATAGTCTAGTCTATAGTCTAGTCTATAGTCTAGTCTATAGTCTAGTCTATAGTCTAGTCTATAGTCTAGTCTATAGTCTAGTCTATAGTCTAGTCTATAGTCTAGTCTATAGTCTAGTCTATAGTCTAGTCTATAGTCTAGTCTATAGTCTAGTCTAGTCTAGTCTAGTCTAGTCTAGTCTAGTCTAAATTTTTACTTCTTGACAACAATAGAAAATTTTTCAAAAATGTTCTCTAAAAAGAAAATTTATCGAATTTTTATCAAAAACTTTTTATAAATAGAAAATTTTACTAACATTTCCTCTAAATAGAAAATTTATCTAATGTTTTTTTGTTTCTTTCAAATACCCTCTCCTATTACAAAGATCTTACAACAATTGTTTGTTAAATTTTTATAAATTATTAATCCCACCATTCAATAAAACAAAAAATATTATGTTTTTTATTTTGTTGCTATACAAACTTTGTCCATAATGAATGCAATTTTCTCATAAATTTACATTTTATAATTTTTTTATTATTTGTAATGAATATTTGCATTGTTTTTAAATAAACAATAGTCACACGCACCTGCAGACAAACTTAGACAAAATTGTTAAAAAAAAATACAACTTAATTATTTCCATAAAAAGTGCAACTAATAAATAAAATAAACAAAGAATATCACACCATTTAAAATCAAAATAAAACAACAACAGCAAAGAAAAACAAACAAATGTAATAAATAACGTAATCGTAATTTTTAGGTTATAAACAACAGTGTATAAAAAAATTAGAAAATTGTAATCAAAACAAATCAACCAAACTGATCAAAAGTAAGAAGAGAGCGGAAGAGTGAGAGTTTCTTATTACATTAAGTTGGTTGGACTCTTTTTTAGCTATTTGTTAACTTTGGTCTTAAAAAGTCCATTTTCTTTCCCTTCTGGTCTAATTTTACTCCTTTGTCAATTTTATACTTTTACCAAATGTTTTCCCATTTCGTCCGCTTATACCACCCTTTTTTTGCAGTGTTACTGTCTTTGCGCCTAATTGTCATTATTAATAATGCGGAAGTTTTTTCAAAAATTTTTGTTGTCAATTTTTGGTTTTGTTTTTAGTTTATTCGCGTTTATTAGCAGACGCTTTAATGAAATCGTATCGCTGGAACTGAAGAAAAAGAAGCAGAAAATAACGCGAGCAGCAATAAATTAACATAAACAAACTAAAAAAAGCTCACGTTTACTTTCGGTTTTAAACTACAACAACAATGATTTAATGTTTAAATCAAATCGAGTTTAATATTTGTTTATATAGCTATTAGGGTGGTAGCAATTTAGGGAAAATTTATTGTACTGGAAATTTCTATAGGGAGAAAATTCATAAAACTAAAAGTGGTTCTCAAGAACAAGACTAGTCTATAGGATAGTCTAGTCTATAGGCTAGTCTAGTCTATAGTCTAGTCTATAGTCTAGTCTATATTCTAGTCTATAGTCTAGTCTATAGTCTAGTCTATAGTCTAGTCTATAGTCTAGTCTATAGTCTAGTCTATAGTCTAGTCTATATTCTAGTCTATAGTCTAGTCTATAATCTAGTCTAAAGTCTAGTCTATAATCTAGTCTATAATCTAGTCTATAGTCTAGTCTATAGTCTAGTCTATAGTCTAGTCTATAGTCTAGTCTATAGTCTAGTCTATAGTCTAGTCTATAGTCTAGTCTATAGTCTAGTCTATAGTCTAGTCTATAGTCTAGTCTATAGTCTAGTCTATAGTCTAGTCTATAGTCTAGTCTATAGTCTAGTCTATAGTCTAGTCTATAGTCTAGTCTATAGTCTAGTCTATAGTCTAGTCTATAGTCTAGTCTATAGTCTAGTCTATAGTCTAGTCTATAGTCTAGTCTATAGTCTAGTCTATAGTCTAGTCTATAGTCTAGTCTATAGTCTAGTCTATAGTCTAGTCTATAGTCTAGTCTATAGTCTAGTCTATAGTCTAGTCTATAGTCTAGTCTATAGTCTAGTCTATAGTCTAGTCTATAGTCTAGTCTATAGTCTAGTCTATATTCTGGTCTATAGTCTAGTCTATAGTCTAAATTTTTACTTCTAGACAACAAATTGCAAAGATGTATCAAAAATTGTCTCTAAAATGAAAATTTATAAATTTTTTTCAAAAAATTCAGTACTATTGTAATTTTTTTCAAAACCGCAGTACCCCCATGACACAAGAAATACAATTTCCAAAATTTGCTCATAATACGATTGTCAATATACTAGAACATAGACTGAACATATCCCTCATGGTTAATAATAATGGAACTAAATAAATCTGACATTTTATACGGGGCCAATGTCAATGGGACATTATACTCTACGCTTAACTACCAGTGACAGATATCGATAAAAAAAAACACCCCCTTATTAAAATATTCGCTTGAAATATTTAAATATACTGGCAAATGTTCAATTTTTATGCGGATTTGTATTAACAATATTATTGGCATATTAAATAATTTATTTTATAAACAAAATAAAATTCATTAAACATTCATGCAATGACCAGCCAGCATCTACTAAGGAAGAAAATTTATTCTGTAATGATATGTATGTCGGAATTAAATTTTATTACCAATTTTAAAATAATATAGATTTTCAGAAGATCTGACATGCTTATATAAGGGGACTGGGTAAATTTTTTTTTAACTTTATTTATTCACAGAAATTTGCAATATTACATATTTAAACTTATGTTTAATCCCGCGAAGCCATTTGGTTTGTGTGTAGGATTAAGGATTAATTGAGAATGTTGAACCTATTTTATCGATTTACTGACAATAAAGTGATTTCTTAAGAAGCTGGACTTGTGGACTTGGATCAACTAAGAACTAAGATCTTTTGTCGAACCAATTCTAATATCATGATTTATTTTTAAAGATATGTTTATTGGCATGTTAGAAATTAGTTACTTAGTTTGTTAGTTCTGAACTAGAACTGAACTAGAACTGAACTAGAACTGAACTAGAACTGAACTAGAACTGAACTAGAACTGAACTAGAACTGAACTAGAACTGAACTAGAACTGAACTGAACTGAACTGAACTGAACTAGAACTGAACTGAACTAGAACTGAACGAACTGAACTGAACTGAACTAGAACTGAACTGAACTAGAACTGAACTAGAACTGAACTAGAACTGAACTAGAACTGAACTAGAACTGAACTAGAACTGAACTAGAACTGAACTAGAACTGAACTAGAACTGAACTAGAACTGAACTAGAACTGAACTAGAACTGAACTAGAACTGAACTAAACTAGAACT